AACTTTTGCCCCAAGTCCTCCCTTCTCCCTTTTTTCTCAATATCAGCAGAGAGCATTGGCATCCACCCAGCCACACCAGCCTATAATCTGAGTTTCCCCTTGGATTCAGGTGTTACTTTTGACCTGCACATCAAGAGTGTGTCCTAGTTTTGATGCTTCATCCTGTACAGCACTTCCAAGATCCCTTCTACTGATACAGGTCAGCCCCTGACAATCTTCCTATTCTCTGGCCTTCTGTAATGACAACTAGCCCTGCTCTTATACATTCAAAATGCTGCCAGCAAGATGATTCTCTCCGTAGTAAAGAACTGTACCCTTCCTTCCCCCATTTCCTCAGGTCACACTGTGTATAGAAAAGGGGAAGGAAGGGTACAGTTTCTTGTTGAAACTAAAACCACTCCAAATATATCTTAAAGAATTTCTCTGTGAGACAGAATCTGCACATGTTTTTGTGCTGGCCAAAGCCCTGAAGGCACTGACTGAAGAGTTCTCCAAGCAGTCAGAAGGTCTAGTTTATGGATGTTCCAGCTACATTTGTTTTATTACTTCACAATTAGGAGTGCATTTACAGAGTAAATGATAGGTATATAACCACACTTAATACTGGAGAACCTAGGTATACCTAAAACAGCAGATTTTCTGCACTGATTATACCTCCTTACCATAGATTTATAGAGTATGTTCTGCACTCTACACCTCCAAACAAGGTTCCCAGTGATATCAGTGGAAGTCTGAGGGCATTGTATAAAACAGGTCTGTGGCAAAGAGAACAAGACTGTATTACAGAGACCAAGGACCACAGGTAAAGGGAGCACGAGAAGAATGGTTGTTCCTTAACGATACAGTCCTTAAGGCTCAGAGAAAATCCATTCCCTTATGGAGAAAAAGTAGCAGAAAGGTCAAAAAACCATCTTGGCTAAGCAGGGAAGTTGCAGCCCACCTACAGAAAAAGAAAGAGGTGTACAAAAAATGGAAGCTTAGGACAGTGTCTAAGGAAGACTACTTGGCAACGGCCCATACTCATAGAAAACAGATTAGGCAAGCTAAGGCAGAAACCGAACTAAAACTAGCTACAAGAATCAAGAACAACAAGAAGTCCTTCTTTAGTTACATAGGGAGTAAAAGGAAAACTAACAGGAGTGTGGGGCCGCTGCTCAATGCCTCAGGATACCTGGTCACTACCACTCAGGAAAAAACGGAACTCCTAAATGACTACGTTGCCTTGGTCTTTCATAAGATCAAGGGGAACAACATGCCAGGTAGGGCATAGAACGAGCAGGGTGGGATTGACATAGAACTGGTCTATGATCAGTTAAAGAAATTAGACATATAAATCAGCAGGACCAGATGAACTCCACCCAAGAGTGCTGCAAGAGTTGGCCGAAGTAATCATAGAGCCCCTTGGCAAAGGTCTATCAAAAATCATGGGTCTCTGGAGAAATCCCAGAGGACTGGAAGAGGGCCAATGTTGTGTCCATTTCAGGAAGGGGAAGCGTGAGGACCGGGGAAACTGCAGACCAATTAGCTGAACTTCTATTCCAGGGAAAATCCTAGAAACATTCATCAAAGCGGCTATATATAACAAACTTGCAGAAGGCATGATACTGAATGACAGCCAGCATGGCTTTGTCACGGGCAGGTCTTGTCTGACCAACCTCATTTATTTCTATAATCAGGTGACTTGTCACCTGGATGAGAGAAAAGCAGTTGACATCATATACCTTGACTTCCAGAAAGCCTTTGACCTGGTATCCCATGAGGTACTGATCAGAAACCTGGAAAATATCGGGCTCAACTGCGGGACCGTCAAGTGGGTGAGCAACTGGTTGTGGGGTAGGACACAGAGAGTCCAAATGAATGGATCAGTGTTGTCGTGGTGACATGTGGGCAGCGGCATACCCCAGGGGTTGGTATTAGGCCCAGTGCTGTTTAATATCTTCATCAACCACCTGGATGAGGAGGTGAAAAGCCCATTGGCCAAGTTTGCAGACAACATCAGGATATGGAGTTGTGCGGACACACCCGCAGATAGGTTGCAGATACAAGCAGACCTAGGCAAGTAGAATGGAACCAGATGAGGTTCAATGTAGAGAAATGCAAAGCGCTGCATCTGGGAAGGAAGAACCCCCAGCACACCTACAGTTTGGGCATCGCTAACCTGACCAGCACTACAAATGAAAGGGATCTGGGCGTAACAATAGACCCCAGCATGAATATGAGCTGGCAATGCGATGCACTAGCCGCTAGGGCCAATAAAACTCTGGCATGCATCGATCAATGGATCTCCAGTAAATCCAAAGAAGTGATTCTCCCACTTTACTCAGCATTGGTGCAGCCGCTACTGGAGTACTGCGTCCAGTTCTGGGCGTCACACTTCAACAAGGACGTGCTAAAGCTCAAGAGGGTCCAGAGAAGGGACACCCGCATGATCAGGTACTTGCATGGCAAGTCATGCAAGGAGAGGCTGAGGGATCTCAGACTCTTCAGCCTAAAGAAAAGAAGGCTGAGAGGGGACCTGATTGTGGCTTACCGCTGTATCAGAGGCATACATCAAGGGCTCAGTGAACAACTGTTCACCAAGGCACCCTGGGGGAAAACTAGAAACAACAGCCACAAACTCCTGGAAGATAGTTTCAGGCTGAACAGTAGGAAAAACTTATTTACAACTAGGGTTTCCAGACTATGGAACAAGCTCCCCCCAGAGGTGGTGCAATCATCTACCCTAGAGGTCTTCAAGAGGAGACTGGATAGCCACCTGGCTGGGGTTGTCTGACCCCAGATGTCTTTCCTGCTCATGCAGGGGGCTGGACCCGATGATCCTTCGGGGTCCCTTCCAGCCCTATGATTCTATGACTAGAGTTTTTAAGAACATGAACAACTGAAAATGAGACACCTTACATTATCAAGGCTGGGTTATCTGACTGTATCGGGTGCTATCATGAGTTTGGAAATTCAAATGCAATGATGGACATGACAAATGCAGAAAGGAGGGCTACATTTACGGTAAAGGCTTTCTGCCACTCGCAGTTACAGGGGCCTGCTTTGAGTTTATAACTTTGACAGAGTTTAACTGTTTGGGCTGAAATGCTGAGTGTCTGCCTCAGGCTGAATTTGTTTGGAGGACTTGCTTGAAAATAGACCAGTTCCAAACGTGTTAAAAAATTTTTATACCCATTTAAGTGAGACACACTTTCACCTCTCTATTTTGGAGAGCAGACATTAAAATGTAGCAGGGAGCTGCCCTTCTGTTAGGGATTTACCTTTTGCTACTTTGGAAACATAGGGTGAATCTACATGTGAAATTAATGCAATGCTCATAACCTCCAGCACATATTGCACTGGATTTTCTTGCTCCTAGGTGCCATGCTTACATGTGCACCAGGGACCACAGCACGTTGAGCCAGCTCAGAGCAGCCCTGGCTGGCAGAGGGCCTGGAGGGTTAGCCTGCCAGCCCTGGGCTCCTCCTACCCAGCTCACTATGCTGAAGAGGGGCTAGCTGGAGCATGAGGGGTACTCCAGTGTGGGGCTAGGTGGCAGGCAGCCCCTGCGCTGAAGCACCTTTGTTTCCCAGTCAGTCCCATCAGTGTCTACACATGTGTTGCTGCACAATAAATAACACTGCCACAGAATAGTAAATAAGTACTAACCTATGACGGCATTGTATGAGTTTACTGTGGCCTAATAGGAACACACATGTAGACAAAGAGACTTTACTGAGGAGGTAATTAGTCAGCTCTGCAGTAAATGTCTCATGTAGATGCACCCAGACAGTTACATTTCACCAATTTATGGCCTTTTCCATAATGTCAGTGTACACATGCTTAGTGGTGGCTCGCTAGATTTTGGCAGTTTGCTCCCAAAATCTCTCTCTTTCATGCTCCTGCTTCATGCAGCTTTTCTGTATCAATCAGACTGAGTCTGTCCAGCTTCACAAAGCAGCTAACCATACTCCTTCCTAGGACTGTTAGGGCTGAGCAGGACCTTCTCTGGAATTGCTTCTCCTACCCACCAGGGTCCTAGGAGGTGTGGGATGCTGGAAATTCAAGTAGGAGGATTCCACTTCCATTGCTTCTAGTAGTCTCATTGCAAGCCTTCTGGCATCACAGAAGGGATTTAGGAACGTGGAGGGCCAAAAAGGAGAAGCAATGAAATGCAAGGAGAGAAAAGGAAAAAAGGAACAAGAAGAGATTCAGAATTGAGTGCATAGGAACAGAAGGAAGCCAGCATAGGAACTTGAGAGACAGCACAGAAAGGGTTATAACTACCACAGGCTATCCCTGTCAGAATCTGAACTTGAATCGAGGATCCTTCAGTCTCTGCTGGCCGGCAAATTGATGTGAACTCCTCTGACAAAATTCCTCTCTCATTCCTTTATAGTAGCCACTTTGCTAAGAGTAGGAGTAGCTAACCTGTGGCATGTATGCCACAAGTCACATGGGCAGTCTCTGTATATATGGCACATAGCAGATCAGGGAGGGGGCAGGCACCACATTGCAGACAGGGCAGGGAGTAGAATGGAGAACGGGGGATAAAGGAAGGGGATTGGAGTGGCACTCAGGGAGAGTGCAGGGCTTATCTGTGGCACACCTGCCAAAAAGGCTCCCACTAGCTTAGAGGATAACAGTCTATTTCTACTACCATTTGTTCAAGTGCTAGAAGCCTCAGCTGTAGAGCTAAAGGTCCACACCCTGCTCATTTCCCATGTGGGGACTAATATGGTTCCACCTGATGACATTTCTGAGTTTTGTTTAAAAAGAATTAAGAACATTATTTTAAAAACTACATGAAAAATTGAAGTCATGAGGTCAAACAGTCTAAAACTAGGAAATGTCAGGAGCAACATGATTCTTTGGGTTTTACATGTCATGATGTTATCCTTAAAGACATAATTCCATGCTGTGTTTTTCTGTAGGATACTTGTCTAACTCAGTCACAAGAAGCCATGGTGTCCACTGTCTCACCAGTTAACACTAATGCTTTTCTTCTCTATCCTTTAAAGGGGCAAATGTTCATTCAACTGACCCAAATCGTGGAATGACTGCCTGGGAATGGGCTTGTTACACTGGAAGATCAGAATCTGCTATGCTCATGCAGAAGCTGATGGACAGTCCGCGCCCCGAGCAGTTTTGTGATCGATATAAACCAGAATGGCCAAAGATGAAGGAACTTCTTGAGAAGGCTGTGGAACCAAAAAGCTGTTTTCAGAGGCTATCAGAGTGTTTGAGGTCAGCAGTGACATTTAGGGTTGCCTCAAACCCTGAAGAGGATGGTGTTCTTGATCACATGGTTAGGGTGACAACAAGTTTAGGTAGTCCCTTTGTTGCCCTGTCTTGCAGGACTGTGTGTCCAGGGAGCCCACCCTGTGTGGGGAAACGCACACTGTCTGTGCAGGAAATCCTGAGGAAGCAGAGAGTCCAAGAGATCCGCTCTCAGGACAGAGATCATGTTAGTAGCTATGAGAAATTATTTCAGAACTCCAAAATCATGGTGGTCCCCAAAAGGAAAGACCGGAGGGCTAGTCTGCAGCCTTTAAGCTTCACTGTGTCTCAAGCAAGTGTGGTAGCCCCAAGGAAAGCAAGCCTTCTGCCACTCCACCTTCTCAGAAGGAGCAGTGTAAGACCAGGATTTGTGATCCCCAAAGTCCGTATTACCAAGGCTCCTCCACCCAACTTCCAGCCAGAGCCAGTGAGGAGGAAGAACAGTGTCAGAAACAACATGTACCTGCAGATCCCTAAATGGAGATACAAAGAGTTGAGAGAGGAACGGAAGAAGGCAGAAGAGCAGGAGAAGAGAAGGGCAGAAGAGATCCAGAGACAGAAGCACATCTCTCTCCATCAAAAAAAAAAGACTTGATTCAATTATGGGAATTACCACAAAAGGTCGAGATGTCATCACCCAGGGTAGAAGGCTGCATGCTGTCAAACTGTGGGGTGCAGAACTGAATAATAGCCCTATAGCACAGAAACCACGTGAGCTAGCACTAAAGGCATCTAGTGGAATGTGAGAAAGTATTGGGGTTGAAAAAGTGAAAACAGTTGATTATCTGCTCTCTGGTAGGTTTGTCTAATCCTGGATGAGCAGGTGAGAAAGAGCCTGCAATGCTCGTGTGTGTGAAAGGATCATGCTTTCTATTCATCATGATGAAGTTAAGAGTCTCAGCTTTTGACACTAATCATTCTCCCCTCCTCCTCTTTAGGTGCATATGAATTGCAACACTTAGTAATGAAAGTCACAAAAAGTTTAAAGTAGGCCATAATCTCCATGCAACTGGTACCAGGCAGGAAATCTGGGGAAGAGGGGGTGGGTGTGTAATGCAGATCATTTTGACTATAATAAGCACTTTATAGATATTTTAATTCTGTAAAACAGAAACTTAAGATATCAAAGGTATCTAACACTACACCTGTACCAGAGGTATAGCACTCTTTCAAAGCCCAGGGCAGAGGTGGGAGAAGGGAAGGAGAAGTGGAGTCTAACCTGACAGGGCTCTCCTTGGGCAGCAGCTGCTTATGCTGTGGTTGCTCCTGTAGTAGTGCAACTTGGGCTGGTGCAGCTGGGAAACAGGCAACACTATGGGCCCCATTCTCTCCCTCCCTCCCTGGGCACAGGACTGTGCCTTCACCCTCCATCCACCAGATATACGGCTGGGTGTAGGATCTGTCTGCCTGATTCCTGCAGCCAGGGTGCAGAGCTGCAGCAGTTATGGCAAAGACTCCCATGGGGAGGGGCCAAACTGGTGCCCAGGGCTTGTGCCCTTCTTGCCTCCACTGTTTATGCTATGGGCCTATTCTAATTCTTCATGCTGTTGACTGTGCTTCTCCCAGATAAAAATAGCTGCATACCAAATACCTAAGAACTGGCAGTTAGGACAGTCAGCCCCAGGAGATGTAAATCAGGCATGGTCCATAAGTTGCAGTGAAGATCCACCATTTTGCATCACTTGTAAATCTGACACACTTTTTTAATGCATTGTCAATTTAAGATTTGCCTCCTTCCCTGCATTTTCTTTTCTTTAGTCTCAGGGAACTCCATCATTATATTCACCTGTCAAATAAATTAACTCTTTAATCATAGAGTTTATTTTAATATTGATGGTCTTGTTAAAAAAATGCTTTAAGTTTACTTGAGCTAAACTGAATCCAGGACAGAATGATTGTTCTGATAACAGAACTGTCTTCACCAAGGATATCAAGTGCCAATAGCATTCTGTGAAAATTCAGTCTTATGTACTGTATCAAGCAACCTGCCCACCAGCATATGGAAATCCAAGATAAGCATCATAGTGAAGATTTGTTGTACTACATCCTCGGTACCAAATGCAGAGGACTATTTCCATCATCCCTATGTCAACTCCAGAGAAAAACATTTCCTAACATCCCAGTCAGAGCAGGAATAACTCAGGTTGTTCCACTATTAGCAGAGAGGGATCACGGTGTCATCCATATTGTCCCTTACCTTTTCTGGATACCATAAAAGTAATGGTGTTTGCTATATGTGGTGGTCCAAGACGGCAGCCCGGTATCCTTCAAAGTAATTATCTGAGGCTCAAACCAAATCTTAGCTGGCATTTTAGAAGCACTTAATGGCCTAGAAAAGCACCACATCGACAGATACTTTTGAAACTGAGAGCTTACCTGATTAGGCAAAAAGTCCTATAGCCCCCAGTGAAGTTGTTTTGGTTTTACCAAGAGAACTGTGTAAAGGGCATAGACAATGTTTGTGTCTTCAGGAACATCCTTTAGAATTTCTTTTAAGCTGCTAAACTGGCAAATCCTGGTATGGACTATGGCCTTGCTATTTGCTAAAGAAAGGCTATGTTTATCAAAGTAGGGTACAAAAGAAAACAGCAAGACACACAGTAAATATGATACCTATTTTTTAATAATTATTTCCTTCCATTTCAAATGTTCATTTCATTATGTTGCTCTGTGTTTGACACTAGACAGAACTTAAATGAGAATTTCAATGAAAAATTCTGTAATTAGGTAACCCATAATCATATATGCACTGCCACAATAGATCAAACCAAAAATACATCTTTCCTAGTATCTTATTTCCAGTAGTGGCATCTAGCAGATGCTTTAGAGGAAGTGTATGAGAAACAGGGCATGTGTAGAGTGATCCATCCTCTGTCAGATCCTGCCAGTTACCAGCAGTTGTAGATTTAGAGGTGTCCTGAACCTGAGGTCACATCACTGACTGTTGTAATAGATGGCTCTGGATGGACCTGCCCTTCATAAATTTGTCTAATTTCTTTTTGAACCCCATTATGTTGTTGTTCTCTCCCATGTCTTGGGGCATGAGTCAACTGTCCTGCATGTCCTGGGCATGAGTTAACAGTGTGTTGTATTAAAAAAAAACAACAAAAAACCACTTCCTTGGGTTTAAACCTGCTGTTTGGCAATTCCCGTGGGTGCCCCCTGGTTTCTGTGATGCAAGGCATAATAGCCCCTATTCTTTTTACATATTGGTCACAGTTTATAGATCTCAGTCGTATCTTCCCTCAGTCTGTTCTCAAAGAAGATGTTGCCATACCTTTTCAATTTCTCCTCATACAGAAATTACCTTATACTACTGATTCATCTTTGTTGCCCTTCTCTACACCTTTGCTAGTTCTGGCATGACTAGAACTGTAGACAGTATTTAAGGTATGGGTTCGCCATGGATTTGAATAATGGCATAATGTTTTCAATTCTTTCCTAATGGTTCCTAACATTTATTTGTCTTTTTGACCATTGTTGCACATTGAGCCAAGGTTTTTAAAGAATAATTCGCAGTGACTCCAACATCTCTTTCCTCATTGCTAGAGGCATTGCAGAGCCCATAATTGTGTGTGTCCAATTAAGGTAATTTCTTTCTATGCTCATTACTTCACACTTACCAGTGTTTAATTCTAACCCCCTCCTTACCTTACTCTGCAGTGTCCTGAGTTATAGCTTTCTCAAATTAGGCTCAGTTCCCATTGGTACTAAGAATGCAAGTCTCTCTGGCTTTTGGTTCCTAGCATCTTTTCAACAGTTGTGTATTGAACTAAGAAAAAAAACAATTTACTGGCTGTAGCTTCAGTAGACACTAGTATTTAATAGATTTGGTAACTTCAGAGCCCAACAGGACTATGCAAATCTTTAAGAGATTGTCCATAAGGGACTTCTTCTCCTGTTCTCCTGTATCACACTCTTTATCCACTTCAGTGGCACTGATTTGAGAGAACAGTTTTAGTATCTCTTAAGGGAGCTTCTTTAGCACCCGAGATCAGGTATTTCCTGCTAAGAGAGCTCTAAGCAGCATATAGGGGTCCTGTACCCCAGTAGAAGCTCTGTCTTCAAGAGTTCCAGTGCAATATCTTCTGAAGCTCTCTAGGAGGGCTCAGCACATATGATGCTTCATGATATCTGGTGCCACTGGCTGGTGCAGAGATGCTCAGTGTCTTGGACACAGCACCACAGCACAGCACCACGCTGCTCCTCATGTGGTGAAAAGCAGCCATGAGTGTTCACAGGCAGTGGTCTACTGAATTTGCAGCTGGCTCCTTTCTGAAGTGCAAGGATGGCAAAGTTTTTTTTCCCCCTCCTTGCCAAAACACTACGGCTTACCACAACCTGGCCAGACTCAAAGACCAGCTCTTAAAATTCTAGTGCCCACATACAGCATCAAAATCAGTCCTAACAGCCCTGGGTGCAGTCTAAGCAGAGCCTGTGTGGGCCTATCAAGCAAGGTTTTTCTCTATATTTTTATGAGGTCACCTCTTACTATGGTGCTGAAACCTGGTGACTCAGCTACACTCGAGATGATCGTTCTGATTGAGAGTGAAGGGAGCTTGTACTATTCTATCTAAACTGTCCAGATGTTCTGGTTATACAGCAGACTTCACTCTGCAAGCCTGTCAATTCTTCACCCTTTGTAAGCACTAATTTCACTTTAAAATAAACAGAAATAAAATATTAGATTTCATGGGAGCTTAATGTAATGTTACAAGGAAGAAGCTGATACTTATTCATTTTTGGGATTGCAGGGTCAACCTATTCAGTGTCCAGTCCAAGCATGTCAGGATGGATTTCATCCCAATACACTGTATAGGACAGATGAACTGTTTACAGGGGATTTTTTGTTTACAGGCAACCTACTGTATTTAAGTATCAGAATTCAGATTCAGTATCAGAAAAGCAATCTTTACTGCAAAGTAAACATATGAATTTGCACTTTTACTAACACCTGCAGTAGAGATATAATTGACAGGTACTCTCTCTCTCAGGGATGAACATATAAAATGTTACAATTAGGGGCTGAAAAATAAGCCCATTTTCTAACCCTTTGTACTTTGCTATGTCCATGTATATGTATTGTACACTTCAGTTAAAACAATTAAACAAAATATGACAAAACCATCACAAGACTTGTTCTTCAGCTAGATTTTGGGTTGTTGCTTTCCACTTCTTGATTGGCGTATCCATACCAGTGGGTAGTTTCTACCATCTGAGAGAAGTCTAGCTTCTATGAAAGGATTTATTATAGAAAGTGTCCATCAAATTCCTTGTAGACTAATGTCACTATGACAAAAAAGTCCATTACATTTGTCACTGATCAGCATTCTTGGTTGGTGTCTCTGAAGAGGGATAAATGGCTGAACAGATATGGAAATTTCCTCATGGTCAGGGAAGGTCCCTGAACAAATGTTTACAGTGCAGGCAAAGGCGTAACTGCAGCTAATGTAGAGGCTGGGGCTAGCTAGTGGAAAGCTTTTAAATTAGCTAACTTTGGTGCTGCTCATTGTATAGTCACTGCAGCACAGAATTCAGTGCAGACAGCAAAACCCACTATTGAAAGCTAGCTCAGGTATATCTGTAAAAGCTACAGTCATACCTTTGAGTGCTGCTACACCTTCCATCAGCACAGATGCCGGTCTGCTAAATCAATTGGAGAAGCT